CCTCTGCTGACGTTTACGTGGCGGCAGGGGCCTATCTCCTCCCAAGGCAGTCCCGCACTGCTAGAGCCTGGTCATAGGTGAATAAAAAGAAACACAGCCCGAGGAGGAGACAGACAAACGGTCTCAGTAGGAGACGGCCCCCGGTTAAGGGACTCTAGCTCATCCAGCCAGTCCTTGCAGTAGGATGGGCTCCGGACAGAGTGCCCCATTTCAGCCCCCCTTGCTCTAGGCTGACAATCACACTAAAGTGGTGAGATGCACGTGCTGCTTTTTCTGGCCACCCGCACTTGTCAGAGCTGCCACAGGTTGAAGTCCCGGGGATGGGGTTAACATGGACTTACTCGTACAAATAGGAAGGGTGCCGGCTGCACCTGGGAGCATGACCAATCTGGAGGTGCACTGTAGGCACGGTGGGGTACCCCAGCGGGAACACGCAGCCCAGGCTTGTTCACTGCTTACATGTTTGTTCTTCAACACGCATATGGGGAGCCGCAGAACCTCACCTGCCGGGCTCTGCTGTCCTCAGACGTCTGCTGGCAAATCCTGTTCCTTTATACAAGACCTGTCTTTTCTCCTGAAAGTTTGGGGACTTTTCACTTACCCTGCTCAGCACTTGCTGGGACCTTTGAATGTAAAGGTTCTTCTCTTCCTGTAGCTCTGGGAAATGGCCCAGTAATTTTTGGGCCAACCAGGTGTATTGGGCAAACATTGACTACCACTAATGGATTCAGTCCACCCATTCATCCATCCCCCATCCATCCATCCATCCATCCATCCATCCATCCCCCATCCATCCATCCATCCATCCATCCATCCATCCATCCCCCATCCATCCATCCATCCATCCATCCATCCATCCATTCATCCCCCATCCATCCATCCATCTTACTCCCACCCATCCACCTGTCCCCCTTCCTCTCTAGTCATCCGTCCACCCACCCATCCGCTCATGACTGGGGCTGTGTCCCCAGGGGCTGTGGTAACCAGTTGCTTGTGCAGAAGCAGCCTGGTTGTAAACCACTCCCTGAGACTTGGCATAACTGGTGGCCTGTAGTGGGACTCCCTCTGTCTGTGGGGCCTGAGCACATGCCCTGTGTCCCCTGAGTTGCGGGGGTGGGGCTGGAGAGTCTTCCCTCTGCTATTTCTTCTAGTTTCTTTCTATCATTCTTTTCCCATTTTTTTTTAAGTGCAACAAGGCCAAACGTCTACCAAATACTAATACCTGGCTTCAATTTCAGCTGCCTCCAAGATTCTCCAAAAAGAATTTTGCGTTTTCCCCATTATCTACAGTTTAAGTCATAGAACCCTAAACACGCTCTACAAATTTGGGGAAACACTTCCTGGCTGCCCATTGTGGGTGATGCAGCGACAGATGAACAGAGAGACTGCTTTTCACTGAATTTCCCACGTGTTTCCTTCCCCTCCGTTCCATACTTGTCCCCTTGGTAGCCCCCGGTTGGAGCTCCTGGACTCTCAGCTGGTCTGTCGTCCATCCTCCCATCTCACGGTCCTTCTGCTCTGCTGTGGAAGCCGCGCTTGACTTGCCCGTCCTGTGTTTGTGGGACCCTGTAGACTCTGTTTGCACGATTGCTGCTTGTTATGGAGCCTTTGTGTGAGGCCGAGTCTGTTTGAATCGGTGTGTCCTAATTAGGATTTTGGGAGTCTCTGGGAGCCCCCACTTGTGTCGGCTCCTGCCTGTGCATCTGTGGACATGGCGGCCAGTCACTGAGAGAGCGTCAGCATTGGGGAAGAGAGTTTGTTTCAACCGTTGAGCTTGAGGTGCCCTGAGCTTGCAGGAGAGGTGTGGGCGGGAGACAGAAGGTGGGAGACCCTGGTCTTGGGGTGGGTCTGATTTCCCAGGGAAGTGGGGGGAGAGCTCAGAGTCACCCCCCCAACACCTTGTGGAGGGTATTGAAATTCAGACAGGACTTGGGTCCTGGAGGGAGAAAGGACAGGAGCACAGATGAGGGGTCCTCGCCCTGGTGTGTGTTCAGCAGGTTTGCAGACGTGGGTGGTGCTGTGCAGCCAGAGAGCCAGTGCCCCTCAGGAAGTCGCTGTCCTCAGTAGCGTCCTCGCAGGAAGGGACTGTCCCCTTCCGTGGCCTCCCTGTGCCTGGCCCAGTCTCGCATATTGCTGGCTCTCGGTGACGCCGTTGAACTACAGGCAAAGGGTTTGCACCAGCACCGGGTAGGAGGTGGGTCCAGTGGCAAGGGGTGGAAAAGGGGCCCTTCCCAGGGTAAAAGCGTGGAGAGGGTGTTAGTTGTTGTTTGTTAAATGTGGCAGTAAATGGCCTGGAAATGGCCCTGGTGAGTCAAGAGTTGGCCAGCGCATCCTCTTTGGTGCTTTGGGATCTTCTGTGTCCAGGTCGGTCTGGGTCAGGCAGAGTGCAGGATGAGTGGCTGGGGACTGGAGAGAGCTTCTCGGGGGTCGGAGGCAGGCTGCTAGATGGAGCTAGGAGGTGAGGTGGCCAGGACGCAGGGGCACTCCACGTGCGTCCTGGCGTGTGTGTGTGGGGGGGTGTTGGGTCTTCTGTATATGTCCCCAAGGGGGGTGCTGAGGAAGGTGGTGCCTGGTGGGTGTTTGGCACTGGGGACTGTTCTGGGGTGGTGGTTGGAGATAGCTGCTGGGACACAGTGGCTTTGGGGGTGGGTATAGTGGGCAGAGGTCTGCTGGTGGGTGGGTCCCAGTTAGAGAAGGTGGCACGTTGCTGCCAGGCCCCTGTGCTAACTGGGGCCGGCCTGTTGAGGCGTCCCCCGTGTTGGAAGGACTGTGGAAGTGGACAACGCCTGCTCCCTCAGGCCCAAGGCCACCTCTGATTCCTCTACGAAGACCTCTGCGTGGGAATAGAGAAAGCTGAGAACCACCCGGGTTAGATCCACCTCTGACACTAATTAGCTGTGCAGCCTTACACAAGTTGCTTAACTTCTCTGTGCCTCCATTTCCTCACCTGCAAAATGGGAATAATAACCTTACCTACGTCACATGACATTGATACGGACACACGAGTGACTGTGAGGTCCCGAGGCCCCAGCCCTTGCTGAGCGCTGTGGGAGGCTCCCACTGCTGGTGCCACTTGCTGGTGTCACGGTCGTTGTCCTGCGCTTCTCCCCGAGGTTCTGCTGCTCCTCAGTGCCTCACGGTACTCAGTTTCTCTCCCTCCGATCATGCCTCCATGCACTGTTGTTTATTGCTTTGGTCTTTTGGCCTCATGCTCATGTTGACGTGTGAATGTCTGTAACGTTTGGTGGCACAGTTCTGGACAGCTGAGCATCATGTTCACAGAACGTCCCCTCTGCATGGGCAGAGATGGAGGCTGAGCTGTGTGATGGCCGGAGTCGCCACGTCGTGCCCACCACTTCTGCCTGGGGTGGCTTTCACGTCTCACTGTCAGCTCTGCTAGTGGACTTCTACTCCTGGGCACAAGCGTACAGCTGGGGTGGCCACTCGCTGTGCTCCGGAATGGGGGCTGCTTGCCTCGTCCTGCCCTGGGGACTGCCGGGACCCTCTCTGTAGCTTCTGGGTCTGGGACGCTGCCTGGCACAGGGTGGGCACTCACTCCATGCTGGTGAGTGGAGGCATTTATCAACGGGCTTTGTTTTATAGCAGATTGAAACCTTGGAGAGGAAAGAAGTAGGGAAACGTCATGGTACCCGGTGTTTGTTTCTAGGTCCCGTCAGTGTGAACGCCGAGTGGCTGGAGGAATGACAGCAGTGGGTGCAGTGAGGGTGGAGACCCTTGTGTCGCAGCTTTCTGTGCCGTCTGAAAGCTGTCACTTGGATGAAACCCTTTTTGCTGACCTGTTACCTTTCTGCAGGATGAGAAGGCTGGGTTACATGATATCTCAGCTAGCGGCCGCTCTAACAGAAGCCCGCAGACTGGGGGCTTAACGACAGAACTGTCTCTCTCACAATTCTGGGGCCTGAAGTCCACAATCAAGGTGCTGGCAGATCCAAGGTCTGCAGAGGACCACGGCCTGGCTCACCGCGGCCGTCTTCTCCTTGTGCTCCCGTGCTGGAGGGCAGGGGGTCCTGCGTCTCCTCCTGTGTTACAAGGACACTAATCCCATCATGTGGGCTCCATTGTCATGACCCCATCTAAACCCAGTCATTCCCAAAGGCCCATCGCCAAATACCACCCCATTTCTACACAGGAATTTGGGGGACACATGATCTCAAGCCAGGGTGTTTCAGGTGTTGCCACCTGCATCAGAATCCCCTGGAAGGTATGTGGGCTGGGGTGGAGCTTTCTCAAAGCAGGCGCCTGCGGGGCCCTACTAACCCAGAGCCTCTGGGTGGAGGAGAGGGACCCAGGAACTGGCATGTCACCGCCCAGATGGTGGAAATGCCTGTGCAAGGTGAAACTGGTGCCCTGTGGTTTCTCCTGAATTTCACTACCTGTTCCACCAGTTTTACTATTAATTGATGCAGCCTAAGGAAAATTTAAAGTATAGTCTGAACTTACAAAATGTGATTTATAGGTGTGCAGATATCATTCAGATGCATTAGAAACTGCTTTTAGTCTATAGAGGAACATAGCAGTAAACCTAATAGAAATGTCTGAGTAAACCACGTACAAGACTGTTATTCAATGTTTTGTCATACAGAGTTGTGACTCCTGGTGATCGGATGAATTACAAAATAATTCTGCATGTAAAACTGGAAAATCATTTCTTCCATAGGGGATCTGTTGTTGTTTGGAAGAGAAAACCAGGAGGTTTTCTGTTCCTGGAGGGAACCAGCAGGGCCTCACTGACCTCTCCTGGGAGAGTTCACAGTGACAACCGACACCTGCAGTTACACCGGGCAAGGCAGCAGCTTTGATGGATCGTGTCTGCCAGGAGCCAGATACTGTTCTGGGCATTTTTTAGATGGGTTGTTTCATGCATGTACATATCCTCTCTCCCACCTATAGGCGACTCCCTTTGTATGAGGCTCCTGGGGCTGCTGAAACAAATTGCTACAAACTGAGCGGCTTAAAATAACACACATTTATTCTTACAGTTCTGGGGCTCCGAAGTCCGCCATCGGTGTCACCAGGCTAAAGGCAAGGTGTCAGCAGGGCTGGCTCCTTCTGGAGGCCCCAGGGGAGAACCCATTTCCTGCCTTTCCAGCTTCTAGAGGCGCCTGCAATCCTTGGCTCACGGCACCTTACTCCACCTTCAAAGCCCGTCAGTCTCATCTCTGCTTCCAGCATCACATGGCCTTCTCTCTGACCTTGACCTTCCTGTTTTCCTCTGATAAGGACCCTGTGGATACCCAGGGCCACTGGGGAGAGTCCAGAAGAACCTTCCATCTCAGGACCCTTCACCTCATCACAGCTGCAAGGTGCCTTCGGCCACGTGAGGTGACTGACATTCACAGGTTCCTGAGATTAGGCACATATGGTGGGGGGCATTAGCTCACCATGCTCCTTAAGAAGATCTAGTGAGAAGACCCTAAAACACATTTCTTGGCCATCTTTAATATATGCATTTTAATGAATATTTAAATTATTAATTTAGCACCACTTAGGTATTAAATAATATGGTAATTTAGAAATAAATTATTCTTTTTCACTCTTACATGCCATAAAATAATTTTATTCAAACATGGATCTTACATATCAGTGTTTTCATCATCCTTGAAGCTGCTCTTAGAGTCCTCTAATAATACATTTTCCATTTTATCTAGTTCTTTCATTTTGTGTGAGTGCATAAACTACCTTGAATTATGCTTCTATTACTGGAAACTTTATCCCAAGACATAAGAATTTCTCCTAATAACTTTAAAACAATTACTTAAAAACACACACTCTTTAAAAAACATACTCTCTATTCTATTTTGGACCTTCATAACATAATCACATACTATTTTCTTTTTAAAGTGATCTTTAAAGGGTTTTGTGCTGAGGAGCTCGCACAGCAGGCCTGACTGCCCTGGGAGGCGCCTGCGTGCAGGGCTGGCCCTGGGCTGGTGACACGAACCTGGGCGTCGGGAGCGTCCCCAGCACCCTAACTGATAAGAGCGGCTCCCTGTGCCTCACCTGTGTGCTGACACCCCTCTCTTCCTGGAGGCCTGGGGTTTGGGATGTGCCAGCCAGAGGGGCCTGCGGGACCAGCCCCCCAATGAAAACCCAGGCTCTGAGTCTCTGAGGAACCTATCTGGTGGGCAAACACCCCACACGTGTTGTCACGAGTTGCTGGGGGACTTGAGCGCGTCCGTGCGACTCTGGGAGAGGTTCTGGAAGCTGAGGCTGGTTTCCTCTGGATTTTGCCCTGCGTGCCTTCTCCCTTCACTGACTCATGTTTTGCATCCTGTCACTTTGCTAAATCTTAGCGTGAGTAATGCTGTATGCACAGTCCCGTGTTCTCCTAGAGTGCCATCGAATCACGGGCCCCGTCAGTGTTGTTCTGATGACAACAGTCCTTGTGATTATGATGCCATCCCCCTGGAAAAATTGTTAGTGTTGAGTTCCTCTGCTCTTTCTGGTGGTCTTATCTGTTCTATTGGGTGGCCTCTGCAGTACTGACTGAGGCTGTTTTGGACTAATATGTGTTTTCCCCACATGGTACCTTGTTCAAGTGCATTAACTGAGGGAGGGTGGCGGATTGTGGGAGAATATTAGCTGACTGCCTTGCCTGGGGAAAACTTTTCCTAGAGAGCGTTTGAGGTCAAATGCAGGTTGGACTAGGGGTCATCTGGATGCCTGTGTACCCCGTCTCTAGCCAGCACTGCTTTTCACTCTGGCTGCCCCTCCATTAATATGCAGGCTTGGATGCAGGGGTCTGCAGCGGGCTCCAGCCCTCCGGCCACACTGAGTGTCAGGGTCTCGAGGGTCCTCTTCCCATCCACTGGGAGTGGAGTGCTGTGCTGCTGCAGCCGCAGAGGAGGCGGGTGTCAAGGAGATCGGTCTTGGGAAACGTTTTCTACTTTGGGAGGAAATGCTTAGGCTGACTTTAAGATTTGCTGCCATTCCTTCACTTTGACATTTATGTGGTAACTGGACTCCTTCTGTGGCGGGTTTGTTATGAATTCTCTCTTTATGTTTAGGTAATACCAGTAAGCAATAGAAATCTGGACTCTTTAATAATGAGCTGTTTATTTTTCTTCCTTAGGGCATTATTTCAAGAAAAAATATGGCAGCATCAGGCGTTCTCTGAACTGTGGACCCTGGAATAAGAACTATGCTCCTGGTCTTGGAGGCACACTGAGATGTATAGAGCGGGGGACACAGCGGAGCGCCCCCTGCAGGGGACAGCGGCCCCTCGCGTGAGGAGTGTGGAGGTTGCCAGGGGAAGAGCGGGGTATGGCTTCACCCTTTCTGGTCAGGCGCCCTGCGTGCTCAGCTGTGTCATGAGGGGGAGCCCCGCGGATTTTGTGGGCCTCCGTGCTGGAGACCAGATTCTTGCTGTCAATGAAATCAATGTGAAGAAAGCATCCCACGAGGACGTGGTAAAATTAATCGGGAAATGCTCTGGGGTCCTGCGCATGGTGGTGGGGGAAGGCCTCGGCCACTTAGAGTCGTGCTCCAGCGACGAGGAAGTGGGATTCTATGAAGGAAAAGGCTGGCTGAAGCCCAAGCTCGATTCTAAAGCGTTAGGTATAAACAGAGCAGAGAGAGTCGTTGAAGAAATGCAGTCGGGTGGAATTTTCAATATGATCTTTGAAAATCCTAGTCTTCGTGCAAGCAGTTCAGAGCCCGTGAAATTGAAACAAAGATCCCTTTCAGAGTCAGCTGCCGAGCGATTTGACCTTGGACATGAAAGTATAAATAATCCGCACCCCAGCCTGCTTTCCAAGGAGGAAATATCGAAAGTTACTCATGACGATTCGGTTTTCAGCATTGGACTAGAGAATCATGAAGACTTTGGGTTAGATGCCAGCATTCTGAACGTCGCCATGGTCGTCGGCTACTTAGGTTCTATCGAGCTCCCTTCCACGAGCTGCAGCCTGGAGTCCGACAGCTTCCAGGCCATCCGCGGCTGCCTGCGGCGTTTGCGGGCCGAGCAGAAGATCCACTCCCTGGTGACGATGAAGGTCATGCACGACGGCGTGCGGCTGTGCACCGACAAGGCCGCCGTGCTGGCCGAGTACCCCGCCGAGAAGCTGGCGTTCAGCGCCGTGTGCCCGGACGACAGGAGGTTTTTCGGGCTTGTGACCATGCAGAGCAGCGACGACGGCAGCCTGGCGCGGGAGGACGAGGGTGTCTTGCGGACTTCCTGCCACGTGTTCATGGTGGATCCCGACTTGTTCAACCACAAGATCCATCAGGGCATTGCCCGGCGGTTTGGATTCGAGTGCACTGCCGACCCCGACACCAACGGCTGCCTGGAGTTCCCGGCATCCTCCCTCCCCGTCCTGCAGTTCATCTCCGTGCTCTACAGAGACATGGGCGAGCTGATCGAGGGGGTGCGAGCCCGGGCCTTTGCGGACGGGGACGCGGACGCGCACCAGAACACCAGCACCAGCAGCAACAGCGACAGCGGCATCGGAAACTTCAACCAGGAGGAGAGAAGCAGCCGCGTGCTGGTGGTTGACCTGGGCGCCGGCTCCAGCAGGCATGGCCCGGGCAGCAGCACGTGGGAGGGTGCGGGCGGGAGGGGCGCCCAGCCTTGGGGCGCCGCCTGGAATGGGGCCTTCTGCCACGACCCTGAGGGGGGGGCCCCATTTGAGGCCGCTCTGCAGGCTGACAGGTGCTGGGACTTCAGTAAGCACTTAGGGCCCGCTGCTCACGTCGAGGTGCCCCCGGCCTCCTTGCGGAGCTCCGTCCCTCCTTCCAAGAGAGGCACTGCGGGCGCTGGCGGTGGTTTCAGCCAGCGGTGGCTTCCGGTTCACGTCCTGCAGGAGTGGCAGTGCGGTCACGCCAGCGACCAGGAGTCTTACACGGACTCTACCGACGGGTGGTCCAGCATCAACTGCGGCACGCTGCCCCCACCCATGAGCAAGATTCCCGCCGACCGCTACCGGGTGGAGGGCAGCTTGGTGCAGCCCCCGCTGAGCACCCAGAAAAGGGACTGGTCCAGGAAGGCTTTTGGGATGCAAAACATTTTCGGTCCCCATCGAAATGTTAGAAAGACTAAGGAAGACAAAAAGGTAAGCCTGCTCGGAGTGGTCCGCAAAACTGAGCTTGGTTTGATAGCTTAGTCAACCACTGATGAAATGACGGCATGTTACTCGCCATGTCCCCAGTCCACTTCCTCTCGTGGTGGCCTCTGTTGGCTGTCACAGGTTGTCACTTTGCTTGTGTGCTGCAGGCTCCATTTTGCCCTCTTGGCACACTCATCTCTCTCCAGTGATCTCTTCCCCAAGCTGGCATTGGCTCTGCTGGCTCTCGGGGTCCTGGGTAGGATGTCGGGGGGACAGGTGTTGGTAGGAGGGCCGTTGACTTCTCTCAGCCTGGGTGAGGCTGTCCCCCTCCTTCCTGCCCTGTCCTCTTTCTGGTGTCTGGGAGAGCCCTGCCCCTTGGCCCCTTCAAAGCTCTTTGTGTTTCTGGCCCGAGTTTTCACCCCGGGGGTCGAGGCAGCCAGCCTTCTGAGGAGAGAACATTCTTGAAGCACAGACACTGTTCATGACCCTTGTACTGCCTCCTTCGTCAAGAAAGCCCTGCTACAAAAGCCACACTGACGTGGCCGGTGGCTCGCTCCTGCTCATTGTGGGCGAGCATCAAACAGCTGGGGGCAGGCTTGGCATAGCACTGCCCTCGAGTCTCGGCCCACTGGTGTCCCTTGAGGGCCTTTGTCTTCCCACACCGGCGCTCAGCTTGGAGCCTGAGGGAGGGGCCGCCCTCGCTTAGGACTGTTTGGAGAGGACGGCTAGCGGTGTGGTATCGGCCAAGCAGGAGGGAGGCTCTTGTTGAGAGGAGAATGGCGCTGGGCTCAGTTTCTTCCAAAGGAACGTCTCTCAGAGGACTTCCATGATGTTAAAATACATTTTCTGTGTCTGCTCACATTTTGTTCTCGATAGCTGAAAGCTCACAAGCAAACCCTGCACACCTGCTGGCTGGTTAGGGCAAGGTCAGGCAGAGGACAGCGTGGGGCTCACCCTGTGGGGTTCTATGCAGGTTTTGTTCCAGATCCTTCTGCTTCTGAGTCTTCCCATCTGTCATTACAGGGACACTAAGAAACGCAGAGGTGGCGCAAACACAGCTCTCCCGTAGCCTTGCCTCGTGTATCTAGGCACAAAGTGTTGTTTTCATTAACTGTCACCATATGGGTTTGGGTCTAAATCCCTAAGCTGGTGGAGCCCTTGTGTGTGTCTCCCCCTTTCTTGTCCGGAGTCTGAACCGTAGGCAGACCGGGTCTCAGGGCAGCGCAGCTCCTGTCCCCCCTTTTCACTCTGTTCCCCCCCACACCTGTGGTGTGGGCTACACCCCCCACCTGAGCCTCCTTCAGGGGCCTCCCGCCAGCCTGGGCAGGGGTGGGACTGGGGAGGGAAGGTCCTGGAAGGCTCTGGAAGTTGGCTAAAATGTTATTTGAAACGAGGAATTCACCATCTTTTGGAATACATATCCTGCAAGTGGGTTTTCTCAGTTGCGGCTGTGTAAGTGAGTACATTCATAGAAACGTGGTTTTTGTGCGGTCCTGTATAGACTACAGTGCACCTTCACGCCCACTCTCATTGGGTTGGAAGTGCCCTGTCTATACCCTGTCTCAGGTCACCCACAGTGGGGTCCTGACCTCAGGAAACCTGGGAGGCAGGGATGCTGTGGTCCCTTGAATGGTTAAGTGACTTTTCTAAGGCGCAACAGTCAGCGTTGAGCAGGGTCATGATTCATTCCTTCTTTGTTTTAAAGACTGTTTTCTTCAGAGCAGTTTTAGGTTTACACAGTAACATTGAGAGGAAAGTACAGAGAATTTGCACATACCCTCCACCCTCAAACACGTACAGCCTCCCCCACTGTCAACACCCCCACCAGATGGTACCTTTGTTACAGCCCAGGAACCTGCATTGACACGTTATCACCCTCCAGAGTCCATACCTTGCATCAGGGGTCACTTGGTGGTGGGCATTCTATGGGTTTGGACACGTGTAATGACACGTACCCATCATTACGGCGTCACACAGAGTGGTGTCACTGCCCTACACACCCTGTGCTTCACCTGTTCACCCTCCATCCCCCACCCCCAGCAACCCCTGATCTGTCACTGTCTCCACAGTTTTGCCTTTTCCAGAGGGTCATGTAGTTGGAATCACACAGAAATGTAGCCTTTTCAGATTGGCTTCTGTCACTTAGTGACATGCGTTTCAGGTTCCTCCATGTCTTTTCATGACAGCTCATTTCTTTTTAGCGCTGAGTAATATTCTGTTGTCTGGATGGACCACAGTTATTTATCCATCACCTACTGGAGGACACCTTGGTGACTTCCAAGTTTTGGCGATTCTGAATAAAGCTGCTGTAAACCTCCACGTGTGGGTTTTTGTGTGGACGTCAGTTTTCCCCTGCTTTGTGGGTTATTACAAGGAGCCTGACTGCTGAACCTCCAGGTGTCCCTCCACTGTGCTCCCCTAGCACCTTGAGCAGCCTTGGCAGCAGCTTCCCAGTTGTACCCAGACCCCCGAGGGTGCTCAGTGCATGAGCCCCCCCGTGAAACCCCCCCTCAGATGATACTCAGCACACCCCCTCAAAAGAAGCTCCTTGCCGGGAGCCAGTGCTGCAGGGACAGGAGACCTGGGCAGTGTCCTCTAAGGGAGTGTTTATCTCCACAGACCAGCTGGCCCTCCCAGCCTGCTCTGCTTTGGGCGGGAGTGGTGCCCCGGTGCCCTGCGCATTGTTTGCACAGGCAGTGATCAGAGCCGCTCTCTTCACAGGGGCCTTGCTGTATTCTCCAGACAGTTCCTACAATCTATTTTAAAACTTCCTGCCATTGTACTAGGAAAACTGCCCGAGATCTGTTTGTTGAATGCAGCGCTGTCCTGGCTTGGGAGCCGATGAGCCTGTCGTTAGCCGCATCCCAGAAACTCAGCTGTGGCTTCAATGCCAGGCCTCACTTTGTTCATTAGAGCTCCCTTAGCATTTTAACTATGTAACACTCCATTGTGTGAATACAGAACTACACACACACACGCGCGCGCGCACACACGCAGCCCCTGAAGAAACAACTAGTGATGCTATTGCGGACATTCTTGCACACGTCTCTAGGTGTGTATATGAAGGAATTTCCTGGGCTCTGGGCAGAGTGGGACGGCTAGTCTGTAGCAGTATTCATCTTGGCAGGTAGTGAGTAGGTGTTAAATTTTCAGTATCTGTGTTTGTTCATATTGATAGTAGACGCCAAGTTTCTGAAGTGGGGCCAGATTTAATTATGTACTTACAATAACCATGCTGGTTTCCCCATGTCCGTTTCTTACCCTGGGATGACACAGTGAGAACCATATCAGATGTCATCCTACATCAGGGTTGTACTGTGGGCGAGGAACCCCCAAAACAGGAACCTGGGAGCTTATATACATGCTGTCCCTTCCCCTCCTGAGAGGGGGAGAGAAACCTCTGCTCTTTAATCAAATTCTCCTTCAAAACAGAGGGAAGAATCCTGGGTTTCCCCTCTTACACTTTACAATGTAAGTAAATGTCTCCAGGAGGAAGATAAGACAGCTACTCTTAGGAGATGTCTTGCAGGTCTCATGCCTCTGAAATGTGAAAACATACCCTGGAGATTTCACTGTATATTCATCTTAATTTAACCACCAAGTCCTAGCTAAGACTTAGAGGCATTTAGTCCAGGTCTCAAGTCTCAGTACAATTCGCTCAGAGGCCCTAACCCTGCAGAAGCCATGCTGTTTCCCTGACAGTCCCACACCAGCTAGTGTGAGAGCTCAGATGGCCCCACGTCCTCACCAGAACTTGCCATTGTCAGGCTCTTAAGTTCCTGGCAATCTCGTGGTAAAGTGGCATCTCATGTGGCTTTGCTTCCCTTGGTCATAAAGATTTGGATTTCCTCTTTGTTGAGGTCCATACCCAAACCTTCTGCCCATTTTTCTGTTGGGTTATCTTTTTCTCTTTGGTTTGTAGGAATTATAGATACAGGCTGTTCATCCTTTGCTGATTGCATGTACACACGTATACCTTCCCAGTTTGTGGCTTTATGGTGGCGTCTTGATGAACAGAAGTCCTTAGCTTGAATGTCGTCCAACTTGTCAGTGTTTTCTCTTAGGGTTTGCACATTTGATGTGACATATTCATTACCACCCTGAGGTCAGTAATACTCTCTCCTTTGTCCATGTAAGAAACGTCCAAACCTGTAGAAAGTTTTTATACGGATTAATTTGAGCCAAACAGACGCTATCTGCCGGGGAGCACTATCTCAAATGCTCCGGAGAATAACAGTTTCGCAGTTTCTCTTATGCATTTGGAATTAAGGAAGATGAGATGGAGGTGGGAGAGAGCAAGGTGGGGATTGGATTACAGGAGAGTTAACGGAGAGTTAATGAGACTCTGCACTCTCCTGAGGGTGAATACCCCCTCCGAGGGGTGTTACTTCCGATTTTTCAAAGGCATGTTAATCTAGATGCCTGAGGACAATGGACAGAGCTGGTTTAAGACCTTTCACTAAAGTAGTTAGAAGCCTGGGGCGTGGCTGCCCACCACTAATTGCCCAGTTAGGGGTTTATGCTCGGATCCCCCTGAAATCACTTTCCGTAGCACCCCTTTTTTCATCCACATCTTTTTTTTCCTAAAATTTCTTTGGAGTTGATTTCTATGAATGGAGTAAGGTGGGTGGCAAGTTAATATTTTTTCCTGTATGGGTGACCAGTTGTTAGAGCACTAAATTCCCTCTCAAGTAGCCCAGCAGTATCCCCTCTGCCATACGTCATGTGTTCATATATGTGTGGGCCTCTTTCTCAGTTCTCTTCTCAACAGTACTTTGCTTTTTAAAATTGTAGCTTTATAATGTCTTTATATCTGATAGGGCAAATATCCTGATTATGCTTGTACCTAACTTTTACATAAATTTTACAATGCTTATAAATTCTCCAAAAATGCTTTTGCCATTTTTATTGCTGTATTTTAATCTAGACCAATTTGGGAGAATTGATGTTTTTAAGGATATTGAGCCTTCCTATCATGAAATTGACCTCTCTCCACTTATTCAGGT